CTTCATGACCTTCACTTGCATGGGCCCTAGATCATGCAGGTAGTTGTAGAAGGTTCCAGGTGGAGAAGGAAAGCTGCATGCAAGCAGAATATATTTCTAGGGAGGCATTTCTGGCAAATGGTCTGAGTCTCCAGGGTGCCAGTAATCTGTGACTTCTTTTTCTCACTCTAAATTAGTACTTACTTTCGTGCCTAACTTTGTATTTATAATTTTGTGTACATTTTTTTTTAAAATTTTTTTATTTTTTTTAGGGGGAGGGGGCAGAGGGAGCAGGAGAGAGAGAATTTTTTTTTTAAAAGATTTTATTTATTTCAGAGTGAGAGAGAATGAGAGATAGAGAGCACGAGAGGGAAGAGGGTCAGAGGGAGAAGCAGACTCCCTGCTGAGCAGGAAGCCCGATGTGGGACTCGATCCCGGGACTCCAGGATCATGACCTGAGCCGAAGGCAGTCGCTTAACCAACTGAGCCACCCAGGCGCCCTTGTGTACATTTTCTTAAAGAGCCCCTCCCCTCCTGAATTTTACATGCTTCGAGTGACATAAAACTTGGATCTACCCCTGTTCTCAGGCATAACTTCACATTGGTTATGCCTCCCCCAGGGATTGATACCATGGGCTAAGGAGGCGGCATGTAGACAACCATACCTAGCAAGGCCCTTTGGTGCAATCCATCCGTTCTAGAAAATGTCAGATGGATTGGAAAATTCTGAAAGCTTTCTGAAACTCTGGAAGGATGATGAGACCTTGAGTCATAGTAGGTCACTGAGTCAAGCTCCAAGAGAGGAATGGATTTGGGGAGGACTGGGAGCAAGCAGAAGGCAGGAGAGCCTTGCAGTTTAGAACAGGCAGTGAGTTTGGGGGCATCAAATTTATGTCTGCTCCCTGGGCAGGTGGACGTGGCTGCCTCCCATTTCTAAGAGCAGGGGCTCAGGTACCTTCGACTTGGAGACAGTTTCAATGTTGCTGGCGAGGTCATCGATCTCCATCTTCAGCTCGCTCTTCTCCCTCTCCAGCTTCTGCTTGACCTTCTGCAGGTTGTCTATCTGCTCCCCGAGCTCGGCTACGCTGTCCGCGTGCTTCTTTCGAAGAGCAGCTGTGGTGGCTTCGTGCTGCAGGGTGGCCTCCTCCAGGTCCCGGCAAAGTTTCTGGAACTCGGCCTTGTGCTTCTTGTTCATCTCGATCTGGGTGGAGGTGGCCCCACTGGCTTCTTCTAGGCGCTCGCTGATCTCTTCCAGTTCCCAGGAGATATCAGAGCGCTGCTTGTCTGCTTTGGCCCGGGAGGACCACTCTGCCTTGATTTCCTCCTCCAGCTCTTCTGTGTGGGCCTGAAAGGGTCACCGCATCAGGAATGTTGGGGGGAGGGAGGAGCCCACTTTGGGAGGGGCAGGGTGAGGGACTGGGGGTAGGCACCACAAAGAAAAGACAACACGATAATATTAAGTTAGTGAGGAATAAACTTGGAAAACAATCTAAATGTCCATCAGTAGGGGAATGGTCAAATCCACCATGATGGAACCATGTTCCAAAAGTTCACGGAGCAGTTAGATTTGACCCATGTCTACCACGGACAGCTCTGCAAGATGCATTGCTACATGAAAGTAGCAAGTTGCAGAACCATAGTCTCTGTATTATCATATTGAAGCTAAAAAATATAAAGTATATAGAATAGAAAATACACATATATTTAATGAACATATTTATATGCATAAACATAAATGTAAATATATATAATATATGCTTGCATATATTTATGTTCTTGCTCCTTTATATTTTAATATATATGTGCATATACATATGTATGTGTGTATCATATATCCATATTTCTCCCATAGATAGTTTCTTTGGGTCTTTTTTCTTTTTAAGATTTCATTTTTAAGTCATCTCTACACCCAGCATGGGGCTCGAACTCACAACCCCAAGATCAAGAGTGGCTGGCTCCACCAACTGAGCCAGCCAGGCGCCCGTCTTTGGGTCTTAAATGCATACATAAACCCATAGCAAGAGATCCGGTAGGATACACAATCCAGCTAAAAGTGAGAGTGACCTCTGAGAAGGGAGGGTTATCGGTGGTGATCAAAGCACCCTTATCAATCATATTTGGCCTTATTGGTAACACTGTAATATTCTCAAGGAAATCTATTATGTGCTACTGACAAAATTAAAATGTTAATTTCAGAAAAAATAAAGGGAAGGACAGGACATTGTTTCCAGCTCCAAGGACAGGAAGAAAATGAGCACCTAAAGAAACAAAGTCCAAAGGGCAGGAGGGACCCTTGCAAAGGGTTTTCGGGGTCTTGAAGGTTTTTGAAACTTCTACCTGCAGTTCTTTGATCTTCTTTTGTAATTGTAAACTGTGCCCTTGTTCCTCATCAATTTTGGTTTGTAACTGCCTGATTTCAAGCTCCTTCCTGCAAACAGATACATACATATATATATATATATTTTTTTTAAAAAATAACATGAAATACAAGCCTTTTATAAAGGGCTAGGTTGGCACTCGGGCTCAAACAGAGAGGTCAAACACGAGATACCTACTTCAATTTCTCCTCCACTTGCTGCTTGTCATTTTCTAGATCCATAATGGATTCCTGGGACATTTTCAGGTCCCCTTCCAGCTTCCTCTTTACTCTCTCCAGGTCTGCCCGCAGTTTCTTCTCCTGCTCCAAGGAGCCCTGAAGCTGGGGAGACATGGGCAGAAAGGTTGGAGCTCGCCCTTTGAGCTGCACCCGTGCCCGCGGCTTCCTTGGGCTCCCGTGGGGGCGTGACTGTTGGCCTCTGGCCCTGGGAGGGAGCAAGTTTCCCCCTGTGTCCCCACTCTTCCCTCCTGCAGCAAAGGTTACCCCAGGGGGCTGGATCTCTTGGGAGCCTTCTGGTGTCTCTTTCGGCTGATTCCCACTCAGCCTGTCCCTTCCCTGTAGGATCATGGTGCCCATAGGTGCACGCTTGTGCACAGATGGGAACAAGCCGGGCATCTGTGGACGGGCTCTGCTACAGCCAAGCCCGGGAAGGTCTAGATTGCACACTGTCACTCTTCCCAGCTGACACCATGCATCCATGGGGAGATCAGGGCTACTGTGTGTGTGTGTGTCTCCATGCATGTGCACACACCTGTGAGTGTGGGGAACAGGGTGGTAGGGGTGGAGCTCGCCTGCTCTGGCCTCAGGAAAACATGAAATCTGGACAAGTTCTAGCCAGTCGTGAGTAAGCCTGAAAATGTCAGGCCTGGCTCTTTCACCAGGGAACATATATGCAACTGATGAATCACTACAGTCTACCTCAGAAACAAACAAACAAAGTAACACGATGGGGGAAAAATGGTAATTGTCATGGCTACCAACAGGACTCATTTTTAACAATGTTAAAATAACTCAATTTTAACAATGTTAGAACAGGATTGGAGATTTTGGAACCCAAGGACCTGCAAATGGATGCTAATTACGATGAAATTGATGATGATGATGGGAATAGTTTAACAGCTAATGTTTTACTGAACACTCTCTAGTGCTGAGCTTTCTTTCTTTCTTTCTTTCTTTCTTTCTTTCTTTCTTTCTTTCAAGATTTTATTTATTGAGAGGAATCACAAGCAGGGGGCGGGGAGAGGGAGAAGAAGACTCCCCACTGAGCAGGGAGCCCGATGTGGGGCTCGATCCCAGGACCCCGGGATCATGACCTGAGCCAAAGGCAGACGCCTAACGACTGAGCCACCCAGGAGCCCCCATGCTGAGCTTTCCATGGAAACCCTCTGAAATGGAGCTGGTTGTAGCCCCATTTCACAGGGTAGACACAAAGGCTGCAGAGTTTAAGTGGCTCGCTCAGCATTCCAGACTCGTGTGGAGGGGGCTGAGGTCTGGACTCAGTTCATCTGCTTCAGAATCAGAAGTTAGACTCCCCTCTTAACCCCTGCCTCTGCAAATAACAGCCATTAGAACACAGTAGTAAAATATCCTTACGTCATGTGTTTGCTGTTCCAGCTTGACATTTATTTTCATTAGACTGCTGACTTTATCTTCTTCCACCTGAAGATCATCCAGTGTTTGCTGATGGGCTTCCTGCAGAGACTTCTCCTTGGTCAGTTTGGAAATGTTTTCCTCGAGGGCTGTCATTTCTTCAGAAAGATTCTTTACCTGGAAGGATATCAACACCAATGGAGTGCTCAAACAATTCAATCAGTAGCTATTGATTTTTTTCCCCCCTTTCCTTTTCCTTTCTTTTTTGGCTACTACGTCTCTACTTCCCCTGCAGGTGCTCACTGTGTAGGCTGCATCATCCTGAAACTGGAAGCCTCCCAGCTCTTCACTTCCTTGCTGGCCTGCCACAGGGCCTCAAATCCCCCCGTTAGCATCGTTCCTTCATAGAGGGGTTTATATCTTATGAGGGAGGACACTGATACATGCAAATAGGATGCTTCTGAAGGGCAACCCAACAATCTCTCTTTATCATTCCATATCCACGGGAATGTGTTTTCCAGGCTGGGGGACTGGGATTTAGAATAAGGCAGGAAGAATAAGGAAAGATACCCGTGCCATGCAAGAACATCCAGAATGGGAATCCTGTGCTGTCAGGAAGCAGGAGGGGAGGCACCACACATGAAGCTTTAATCTACGTACGACACTCTTCCAGATCAGAAGTTGTTAAACTCCTGCCCAGTGGGCTGAATCTGGCCAGGGACAGGTTTTCTTTAATTCACATAATAGTTTACAACTGCTGAGTAAGTTATCAATATTGAAAGAAGCAGTGAAATTTCACATAAAATCTGGACTCCTGGCGGCGCATGGAAAATCCAAAGCTTTGTGATGCTGGATTTGTATTTCCCCTTGGAAGCAGCTGGGTCAGGGCTTCCGCCACGGCTAGGGCAGCTAGGGCAGGAACACAGTTGTTTGCCAAGTCTCCATGTCTTCTGATTGTCCCTTTCCACCATTCCCAGGAGTCTAGCTCACACCAACTCTGGGTCATCTCACACCAGGGCAGCCCCATCCCTTGCTCTACCTCATTAGCAACCATTATTATGTCAATCAAGTGGCTGTGTTTTTCACGCATTTCTGTAAAATGTGGGGATCCTTAATTTGACCAAGTATTTCCAATGCTTTCTCGAAGGCTGCGTCAGTCTATACTCTGCCAGTAACACACGAGGGTCGCTGTTTGCCCATGTCCCTGCCGGTGCGTGGGGTCACCCCGCTTTCTGCCATCTGCCTCCCTCATCACCTGCCTGGCCCCTGGAGGCATTTTGGTTTGCTCTTCCTGAGCCAAGTGCAAACAAAAATGAATAGGATGCCACCCTTGTGGAGGATCTCTTGCTTTGTGCAGGATGGGTTGGGGGCTGGAAGTTTGGGGTCCCACCAGCCGGGCAGGAGGAGGGTTGAGAAGAGCCTGCAGGACAGAAAGCAAGGCAGAGAAGGATGGAGCTTGGTGGGACCTCACTGCCCCTCTGCTCGCTCTTGCCTCTGACTTCAGGCAATGAGTGCTCCTCACCGAGAGGGAGTAAGGATGGTTCCAGAAGCCGTGGGACTCCCCAGTTTGCCCACCTTGTTCTCGATGGCGTGCTTCTCCTTTTCCACTTTCGTCAGGGTCAGCTCCAGGTCGTCGATGTCCCTTTTGAGAGATGAGCATTTATCTTCCAGGCTCCTCTTCTTTGCCATGAGGTCAGAGTTCACCTCTTCTTCCTCTTCTAGTCTCTCATTCAGCTCCTTGACTTTGGCTTCTAGTAGGATCTTGCTTTTGATGAGCCCTTCACAGCGCTCCTCTGCATCCATCAGGTTTTCTGTTTCCTGAAAGAACCAGATGGGTTGTATTTCGGTAAGGCTCTCAGCGAACCCCACATGGGGAGTGCTCTGCCCTCCAGAAGCCCACTATCTGGACTTGAGCCAAGGAATGGGTCACACACGCACACACACACTCCTGTGCACACACACACGCATGCGCACACAGGCACCCACGCACGTGCACACACACACTCATGCGCACATACGCACACACATGCACACACACTCATGCGCACACACACTCGTGTGCACATACGCACACCCCATTCATGTGCATATACGCATACACATGCACACACACGCACATACACACTCATGTGCACACACGCACACCCCCACACTCGTGCACACACGCACACACTCATGTACACACGCACGCACATGCGTGTGCACACCCACCCACACCCGCACACATCCACACACTCGTGTGCACACGCACACCCCACACTCATGTGCACATACGCACGCACACATGCACACACGCACATACGCACCCACACATGCACACACTCATGTGCACACATGCACACACCCACACACTCATGTACACATATGCACACCTCACACATGTGCACACACATGCACACACTCATGTGCACATATGCACACACATGCACACACACGCACCCACACATGCACACACGCACTCATGTGCACATACGCACACCCCACACACTCGTGCACATACGCACACACACGCACATGCACACCCACTTGTGCACACACACGAGCACACATGCACACACACACACACCCCACTTGTGTATTATCCGTATACCTTTCTTTAACCACCAAGGACATCCACTTAATAGAAATTCACCTGAAATAATTCCAAACAAAGGAGTCCATACAGTTCACGAAGCTGCTGTCAATTTGCCCAAATTCGGCCAGCCGGCCATTTCACTCTTCCTTTCACCACCCATTGAAAAATGACTCCTCTAATCAATGTTAACACAAACTAACTGGTATTTTCAAAACATTACTACCTTTTAACTTCCAATGGAAAGCTGCGGTCTCTCCCTGTGAGCTCTGCTTCCTCGAGCCACAGAACAGGAAGTTCAAAATAGGAATAAAGTGATTAAGTAGATATATGTCCCAGAAGGCTCTGTAATGAGTTTTTTGGGTAGGCCAAGATTAGCTAATTCTATTCTTAAACCTAATTGGGTTATATCTTCTTGTACAAGAGTGTTGTAAACTGGACCCACATTTCAAGGTTATGGATAAGAATAAGCGCCAGTGTTAATTGAACACGTACCATGGGCTCGGCATTTCACATGCATGGACTCATCTGATCTTCCCGACAACCCGATGACATGTGTGCTGTTACCGTGCCCATTTTACAGATGAGAAAACCGAGGCACAGAGAGGCTAAGTAACTTGCCCGAAGCCACACAGCTATCAAGTGGACAGTTTGGGATATAAACCCAGCTCTCTGGTTCCAAAACTTATCCCCTTGCCCACTGGGCTTGGGAAAGTGCTCCCAATGACCACACTGTACTGATTGGGAAAGTATAAAGGGGAGGAGAAAATGCTTTGTATGCAAGGCATTTGGGAGTTTATTAAAAGACCCTAACTTGTGAATTGATACAATTATCAACGAAAATTATTCCTCCTTTGAATTGTTTTAGTGATTTACTTTAATTTTTATTTACATGATTTTTTTTTTTAAAGACCTGGTGCATTCCTTACAGGTTTTAATCATGAGGACACATTCCCCGTCATACCCACAGCAAACTAGGTCTAACTCCGCTGTGGAAGACAGACAGAAATGAGGGTGAGCCGAAATCCCCTTTGCAGACATGCTTCCCCTCATCTCAGCAGCCACCAAGCCCCGCCCCCTCCCTCTTCCGACCGGCCGGGTGGCGCTGCAATACTCCATACATCCACTAGGTGACACCACTGCCCCTTACGTTGACGCACCTGCTGGGGCCTCAGTGTTGCTCCTCGTTTCTGTCCTCACGGGGAAGGTACTTACAGACTGGACCTGCAGCTGGAGGTCATTCTTTTCCTGCAGCAGGGACACCATCTTCTCCTCCAGCTCCTTCCGGCGAGCCTCAGATCTGGCCAGCTCTTCCTTGGCCCTCTCGAAGTCTTCCTTCATGGTGGCCATCTCTCGCTCCGCCTCCGCGCTCTTGAGGAGCGGCTTGATCCTGAAGAACAGGCTCATCCAGGGCCAGTGCTTGACGTTCATGAAGGCGCGGATGTTGTACTGGATGCAGAAGATGGAGTCCCTGTGCACCCCGTCGGACTGCGTTAGTGAACCACAGCAAGGACTGGTGTCCGCCCCCACCCGCCCGGGGCGCCCAGGCCCTTCACCCTTGCCCGCTAGGTGGGAAGCAGGGGCAGCCACGGTCTGCGGCTCCTCTGGGCCCTGGGGTGTGCTCTGCAGATGCAGGGCAGAGGCAACAGTATGCACAGAGGGTGGGAGGTGAGAGACGACACGGGATCATTTGTGGACCCTACCCCCTCCCGCCCCCCGGGCTTCCGTCCCCATCGCTGGCCTGGAGATGCGGTGCCTAAGATCCTGATTACCAACGCTAGGAGCATCTTCATCTCCACTCTCCTGAGTCTGTTTCCCACAGTTTCTTTTTTAAAGATTTTATTTATTTATTTGACACACAGAGCGAAAGAGTGCAAGCAGGGGGCGCGGCAGGCTGAGCAAGATGGAGAAACAGACTCCTTGCTGAGCAGAGAGCCGGATGCGGGACTTGATCCCAGGACCCCGGGATCATGATCTGAGCCGAAGGCAGACGCCTAACGGACTGAGCCACCCAGGTGCCCGTCTCCCACATTTGAATGGCTCTCACCTTTTTGAAAGACCCCATTGCCTTTGATTCCATGATTCCTGCCTCAGGGTGCTCTGATGTGTGGGGTCCCTCTTCCTGCTTACCTGTGGATGTACACCCAAGACCGTCTCCCCGACACTTGCTCTCCTAGAATTCGGTGAGTTTCTTGATTTTGAGTGTTGCCTGTGTCCAGGGTCACCTGCCTTACCTCCTACTCCGTATCCTCCAGAGCTCACGTGTGCCTGAAAACTTGCTTCCCTTTCCCATTAACCAGCTCCTGCTGAGGGCCCTTCTCTCCCGTTTGTGCCGGCTTCCATTCACTTCACCCAGCTAGATGCCCACGAGGTGCTCTTGACTAATGCACGGTGGTGGCCCACGTGGCAACGCCAGTGTTAGGGCTCTATAGGGCATCAGGGAATCAAGGAGAATGGACTTCCCCCCAAATTCCCCTCTCCCTGAAATTCCCGCACGTGACCAGCCACCAGTGTTGCTGGTGAATTATCGAAGGAGTAAAACTCTTCAATGTCTCTGGACTCCATCCCCTGCTCCCTCACCGCTGGACTATGTCTTAGTTCAGGTCCTTGTCATCGTCTGCAAACCCAATCCTCTCGCTGGTCCCCATATGCACCTGCCAATTCTTCCCAGCCAACGCCTGGGTCTGGTCTCATGAACATGGTACAGGGAAGCCTGTGTTGGGTGCATCTCCCTCCTCCCTCCCACCATGGTGGCCTCCAGGCTGTCCTTTCTCAGGCCAAGCAAAGCTTCCTTCAGAAAGTTCTTTCCTCTTGCTGACCCCTTCAGCCTGCCCCAACTCCCGGCCAGGTGGAGGGCTTGTTCTCACCATCCCCCATTGCCCTGAATGTGACTCTGACTTTGCACTTGTCATGCGTGTTACAGTCAGCCATGCAAGGGTCTGTTTCCAACCCACCCCTGAGCTCCTGGAGGGCAGGACTCCTCTCTGTATCCCCAGTGCCATGCAGGGTCCCCAGCACAGAAGGGCTGCTCAGCAGGTGTTGGTGAAATGAAGGAGTGAGGACATCGATGCCCGAGACTGAAACCAGGAAGCAACCAGCAGCTGCCAAGTAGGGAGGGCAGGATAAGGTGGGGCGAGGGTCCGCATCACCTGCTCTCCATCATCTTCTTGAACTCCCCCCGCATCAGGTACCCCCTGCAGATGGCTTGCATGCACGTCATCAGGGTCACCAGCTTCTCGTCCCTCATTTTCTCCAGGAGTCCAAGAAGTCCAGCTTTGAAAAACATCTGCGTCAGAGGAGAGATGAGCCCTGCTTTGTTCTCAGCTGCCGTGCAAACCGGGGCCCTCCGGGGAGCCTGCTTCTGCCCAGCCCAGCCCGCAGCCTTCAGAGCCGTGGCCTGGGACTGGCAGTCCGCTGGGCCTCACAGTGGCCTCTCCCGAGCTCTGTTCCACAGGACGTTCCAGGCCCCTCCAACCCCCATGGACCGATTCGGATAGAGCTCACACACGAGGCCAGGATGTGTCCAGAAAGTACCCTCCGAGCTCAGCTGTGCCCAGATTGGGAGAAATTCATAGACGGTTCTTCCTCTCTGTTCTCCTCGCTGTCTGCCCTCTGGCCCACTCACTCGTGGCCCATACTGCCAACATTCCGAGGAAGCAGGGCTCCCGGGGGGGCGGGGCATAGGCCCCAACCGGCCCTTTCCAGGAGGGAGAGCTCTGCAGTCAGGCCAGGATTTGAAGCTGGCCTTTGTCCCTCACGATCCATGTGAACTTGAGCAAGTTTCTTGCCCTCTGGGAGCCTTTCTTCCCCTGCCCTCCCTGTAACCCCACAAGGTCAGGACTAGCCTTATCACCTTCGGGTTATCGGGAGGACTGAATGCAAGGTGCATAGAGGGCAAGTCACAGGGCCAGATCCTCACCTGCTCAGTAAATGGCAGCCATTTTTATCTGTTATCATCATTCCCTCCCAGTTTTCACTGTTTCTTCTCCTTCCTTGACTCTCTGGTCCCATGTAAGAGTGCCTTTGCTCTGCTCTCTTAGGACCTAGAGCTTTCTATTGCTTTCTTCCGTTGCTGGGGGTGAGGGGGGCTGGCTTCCAATTAAGCCTCTAGACACTTAGAAATCAACACGGAGACAGAATTCTCGATACCTAGACCCAGGCTCCTTCTGTGTGGGCTCCTGCGCAATGGGGTCATCAGGTTGGCTGGATGGGGAAAGAGGCCCTTTCCTCCCACCAGCCGACAAGCCGCGCGGGGCTGTGGGTGACACGGGGCGGAGTGGGGAGGTGTCCCTGGTTTGCGTGTTCTCACCTTGGTGTGGCCAAGCCTATACTGCTCCCAGTCCACGTCGATGGAGCTCAGAAGCTTCTCAGAAGCATTTTTGCTGTCAATAAACTGTCCTTCGGGGATGGCACTGGCGTTGAGGATCCGGTACCTGGGGGGGGTGGGGTGGGGAGCATGGTCGGTTGGCTACCTGGAGACAGCTGGGTGTGGAGGATCTTGGGGTAGAAGGGCCTCTGACCGCACAGAGCTGGGGGGGTGCTCCCTCCATGCAATTTCCTGAGGGCCTCACCCTGCCTCTCTCTGCTCAGGAGCCTCACCCCTGCCAGGGCCCAGCCCATTCTGTGATGACCCGTGGCCAGAAAGGCTATGCCCTCCCCTGAGGGAACACGGACTCTGGAGAGCCACCCCAGTTTAGGTGACAAAAGTTGGCGAGCAGTTGGCTGAGCACACAGGAAGCCGAGAAGACCCCTTACCCTCACTCCAATCTGGCTTTGGAGGCTGGGTCAGGCCTAGCATCTACTTAGGCCCTCTTCATTGGCTTGGCAGTGCTAGGTTGGGAGGCAGTTTCCGTTGAGGGACAAAATTTCCTGAATGGATTCAAACCCCGAGAGAGGCCCCATAGCTGAGACAAGGCCCACCCCCTACCTAAGACCAGGCCTTCTAGAACCTTCTCCTGCTCCAGCCCTAGGAGGAAATGGAATATCGTACAGCTAGTCTGGGAGAGGAGGGTACACAGCTGGAATTTTGTCTTCAGAGGAAATAGTTCTTATCTGCATAAAAGAACCTTGAAATCCTCTGTGACTTGCAGACCTTGGTCCTCCTATCTCTGGAGTGTTCTCTCCCTTCCTCTACTCCAGACAAGACCTGGAATTGTGGGCCCAGATGGCAGCTGGGAGGAGAAGGCTGGTCTGGAGCAGCAGGACTCAACTGGGGACAAGTTAACCCCCCCCCCCAGGGGACATCTGGCAATGTCTGGAGACATTTTTGATTGTCCCAATGTCTGGGTGGGGTGTGGTTTGCGCCCAACACTGTAGGTAGAGACCAGGGATGCTGCTAAAATCCTACAACACACATGACAACCCTCACAAGAAAGAAGATTATCTAGCCCTGAACGTCAATAGTGCAGAAGGTGAGAAACTCGCTCTGGAAGCACAGTTGAGCTGGAGGGTTGGGGCTCTGATCCTGGGACCACTTTGGGCATAGATCATCCCCCCAGCTAAAGACAAGGCTCATGGAAACCCTGGGAAGCTGTGAGCTCACCAAACACCCAGCCCAAGGAGTTCCTCTGGGGAATGCACAGGGTGACCTCGAAAGGAGAGAGATGCGGGGCGCCTGGGTGGCTCAGATGGTTAAGCATCTGCCTTTGGCTCAGGTCATGATCTTGGGGTCCTTGGGATCGAGCCCCGTGTCCCTGCTCAGCAGGGGAATCTGCTTCTTCCTGTCCCTCTGCCACTCCCCCGGCTCATGTTCTCTCTCTCTCTCAAATAAATAAATAAAATCTTAGAGAGAGAGAGAGAGATGCAAAGCCAGGTGACCTACCTCTGTTTGAAGTCAGCATAGAGGATCCGGCTGGGGAACCCTTTCCTGCAAATCCGGATGCCCTCGAGGACCCCGTTACAGTGTAGTTGGTGCATGACCAAGTAGTGGTCCATCACGCCTGGGGAGAGAATGTCCCGGGGGTATGTCGGCGGCTTTTTCATTGTCTTTGACGGTCTGGCCACCGAGGGACACGCCAACGCACCCAGACTTGAGTGGATAAAGTTAGTGCCAGCTCTAAGATGGGGGGGCTGGGAGAGCCTGGAGCGTATCTATAGTCTCACAGTAGAAATCCTAACCTCCTGGGGACACTCGAGCATCCCATTCTTATGGGCTAAAAGCCAAAATATTGATCTTTACCCTGTTCATGACCCTTGAGACTTAGCTAGGCTGGAATGAGCATGGGTACCCTCTGGACTTCCCATTAGATAACGTGATATGCCCTTCTCTACTCAAGGTCATGTAGCATCTGCAGGCTGTGCCTTTAGTGGGAGAGAGAAACAGAGAGAAGGACAGCTATGCTTTAGAGGGTGCAGGGAGTTGAATGCAGAGCACTTATCTGCTAGCTGCTGAGCATGAGCTCTGGGAAGGAGTTGGGGGTGCCGCTAATGCTGGAAGGAAGAAGAGGAGCCATGGGGACAAGCTCTTATCAGGGATTCTCTTGGGTCAGGCACAAATCAAATGGGCACTAAGAAAATTCTGTACTGGGGCTGTGTGAGGGGTTAGGAGCCGTCTTATGGCTGCATAATGGCTTTTCCTTGTGAGTTCCCTAGGTTGCTGGGGAGAGGGAGGGCTAAAGCTGTCTCTGATGAACCTTCTGGAAACTGCTAGAAGGCTCACAGCTTTCCTTGGTGGCTGGGAGGAGAGATGACTATTCATTTACACAATTTTCAAGGTTCTGCTGGAGCTGCGCCGTCTGATACAATAGTTTCTGGCCACGTGTGGTTATTTAAATTTAAATTCATTAAAATGAAAAGTTCATTTTCCTAGATGCACCAGCTGCATGTCATGTACCCAGTGGCTAACGTACTGGACGGCACAGATGTGCAACATTTCCATCGTTCCTGAAGATTCTACTGGCCAGTGATTCTCTCGAGGAAGGAGCGGTTAAGACCGAGGAGAAACATATCAGACACTCCGAGGACCTTTCGTGGGAGCGAACCTGACGGATCACCAAGTCCAGCTCCCAGTACTTCTCGGATGAGGATTTTGAGGGGCTCCGATGCCGGCTTTGGCATTTGCTACCTGTGTGCCCCCATTTCCTGGAGAGGTGAGGGCCCTGAGTCGCAGAGCTGAGACTGGGCTCCCACCTTCCCAGGGGCCTCTGCTGTCGCTGCAGGCTCAGAACTGGCTTGACTTCGCCCAGGGCTCTCTCCATGTCCCTCCCAACCCAGGCAGAGACGGTGTCTGGAAAGCCCATAAAGACAATCCTCTCTGCCCTCTGACCCATGTGCAAAACTTCTAAAAAGCCCCCTGAGCTATTGCCTTATCTTTCTCTCGTTACCGCTGCTAAAGAATTTTCTCTTTATCCCTCATTCGTCACCTCCAACTCCTTTCTCCTGCCATCTCCGCTTCAGGGGCATTTGTGTGAATCAGTGTGTCTTACGGTCTGTATTTTATGATGCTTTGGCAAATTGGGGCCTTTGCGGAGCCCGAGAGACTGCCCCCGAGAGCCAGTTCCTAGGGTGGCAGACTGCTCCCCTGGGAGCACACATCTCACCCCCCCAAGCTAACCAACCCAAAGCCCGTGTCCCCCAACCATTGTCTCATCAGGCTGCCGCGCTCAGGCCGGGCACCAGACAACCAGGGCAGCCCCCACACCTTGGGGCCTGCTGAAATGATCCAAACTAGCCCCTCTTAACCTGCTCAGCCTGCTCGCCCATTCCTCCCCATGCTTTCCCATTGATCCCCTTGCTCGAGCGGCCACCATCCACCATGCACTGAGTGTGCCCGCGGTTTGATCCTGGACCAGGACTCCAGCCCCAGCTCCGGAGGCCCTGGGGCAGGCACTTCAATCCCCACAGTCTCAACTCCCTCTTCTAGAAAATGAAGAGGCCCCACTAGGTCCTTTCCAAAGCCTCGCCCACGCTCCTATAGTAGAGTCTTAGTCTATTCTCAGAAATGAGAAAGAAAAGAGACAGGGGCCAGAATGAAGGAGAAGCAAAATCGACAGGAAAGGATGGAGATTTCATCACAATTCACCTTCCAAGAGAAAAAGGAAACCAGTGGATTGCCCAGACCCCTGGGGGCCCCTAGAGGGACAGGTTGCACCCAGCGAGGGGCCATCCGTTCCCTGTCCCCTGATTCTTGCAGGCAGGTGCTTTATGGACAGCCCGTTTGATTTGTGCAGACATGTGCTCAAAAACAATAATGGAAATCCGCTTTCTTTGGGACAAGACAGCTACACACAAGCCAACAATTTCGTCTGATGTGTAACCAGAGAAACAGCTCTGTTCCAACCGTGGAGGAGAAATGGGCTGTGCTGGGCGCACTGGGAGGGGTGCCGCCTGCAAAGACAACAAGGGTCCAAACAGGGCGCCGGCTGGTTTTTGCCTTTGACTTAGATTTTCACGGAAGATGGATCCCACTACACATAGTAGATGTGGTCGTTTGGAGAATTAAAATGCCTGGTTTTCAGTAATAATAGTAATACAAATAAATATCGTAAGAATTAATAATGTAATTATACTATAATAATATCACAAGCAATTAATCTTTGATGTAATAATAAAATTATTTCCCCACGATGTTATAATTTCTCTCATGGTTATTATCATACATAACATTATTACATAATTCTTCTTCTTCTTGTAATTATACTAAACAATTATTAGCATTATCATTGACAGCCATACACTGGGTGTTCTCATGGCACTTAGTCGTAATGCTTGACATGCAGTCACTCAAGCGATCCTCACAACCACCCCGTAAAGCAGGTTGAGTGAATTAATATTTACAGTTTATAAGCGCTCATTAAATAAATAAATGAATAGCTGAGTGCATGCATGAAATGCCACTTTAATCTTCATTTTATAGCCCAGAAAGCTAGAGTACGCAGCTAAGGGTCCCATGGGCAGTAACAGATGGAGCTGGGTTTTTTTTCCTTTCGGCCTCTGAAGCCCTCTGTTCCCTTGTCACATTGCAGAGGCAGGATGCTTACTCATGTTTGGGATAGATAATTCTATCAGCTGTAAGTGAGCTGCCTCGGAGTCAGAGCTCCGTGTGACTGTGTGTTCTTCTCTTTGTGACAAACAGCACTGAGATGCTGCTATCCTCTAAGAATATTTCTGAATCGGGGACTGAGGGATGGTTAAGGATCTACTACTATACTGTGCAGTGTTCTAAGATCTACAGTTCTCAGTTTTCCCATCTGTAAAATGGAGAGAACTATACTTACCTCACTATTAGAAGCAGTAGAGATGATAGGGTAACGGTATACTGTATAGGCTTGGGAAACAGGTGTTTTAACTGTGGAATACTCGAGATGCCGTGGTGCTCTTTGGGGGAAAGGAATCACAGAACCCTTGGAGAACCTCATGAAAATCACGGATCTGATGTGCCTCTCTATGTACTTAACTATTTGGGATATGATTTCAGAGTAGGGGTGCCAGATAAAATACAGGACGCCAAGGTGATTTTGAATTTCAGATACAATAAATCGTTTTTTAGTGTAAGTGTATCCCAAATACGGCATGGGTCATACTTACACGAAGACATTTTTCATTGTTTATCTGAAATTTGAACTTAATGGGTATTTGCTAAATCTGGACATGTTACTTCATAGATGACGTTGAGAGGTGATAAACACCATAACCCTCTGCTCAGGGAAACACGCACGCACGCAGAAGTTTGCACACATCTTGGGGAGTCCTATTCTAATGGATTCTTACTCACCGGGAGTCTTGGTCTCATTGGGAATCAGGCATCGCACAAAGTGAGGGTGAGTGCTCCTTAAACTGGTCATCAGCTTGTTTAAATTTTCCCGGGACACAAATCAGAACAAGCACATTTACCTCAGCAAATGCCCTTTCCCGGGGGCAGAAAAACAACCGAACGTAGAAACTGCCAAAACACAAACCCTGAACACCGCCGACACGGTCTGGAAAGAGGAGCCTTTCTTCTTCCCACCTTTCTTGCTTACTCTGGAGTCACCTGGAGACAGACACAAGGAGTGCATCAGATGCAGCCCTGAGCCCTCTCCCTGCCCCCCACCCATGTTATTGAGATATCATTGACATATAAATAACACTGTGTAACTTTCAGGTGTACTGACATAATGGTTTGATGCATGTATATGTTTCGAAATAGTCACATTAAGTTTAGTTAACATCTGTGTCCATACATGGTTACAATTACTTTCCCTGTGATGAGAACTTTTAAGATCTACTCTCTTAGCAATTTTATTTTTTTTTATTTTTAAAGATTTTATTTATTTATTCATGAGAGACAGAGAGAGAGAGAGAGGCAGAGGGAGAAGCAGGCTCCCAAGGAGCAGGGAGCCCAATGTGGGACTCGATCCCAGGACCCTGGGATCATGACCTGAGCCGAAGGCAGACGCTTAACCATCTGAGCCAC